GGGGGCGGGGCTGGGGGGGGGGGTGTGGGGGTGTTGAGCAAACACAGGAAACTCCCCATCTTCCCAGGCTCATCTGAGTGTAGAAGCCTGCAGGGCAACGGTTTTATCTAGGTTAAAGACTAACAGTTTGTCCCCAACACCCGACTCCCACACATACCACACACACACACACACACACACACACACACACACACACATTAACATGAAGAGACACACACACATTCATTTACAGTTTTATGTTTATAATGAGTTTTTAAAGTTTCCAAAAAGTCAAGTTAAATTTTTTAATTCTGTGACCAAAAAAAACCTGATGTCAAACATCAATCCATGAAAATCCACCAATCCTGTGTGACCCTTGATCTGACCTATGACCTTTCTTAGTTTTTTTGACCTTCATGTATCTTGTTTTTTAATTCTAAATTAAGAAATGAGAAGAAGAAGTTTCGTGATATTTAAAGAGATATCCCTCCTTCCCTGACTCCGCCCCCTCTCCGCAGGAGGAGAAGAAATGTTTTGCGTGCGACTCGGCAACAGCGTTCGACGAGCGGACCAATCATACCAGCAGCCATCGTGTAGACAATGTGGTGACGTCGTTCGCTCCGAACCGACTGAAGACCTGGTGGCAATCGGAGAACGGTGAGGTCACGTGGGGGTCAAGTCCATTTCTATTGGTTTAGTCTATGCTGAGGTGGGCGGGGCTAGGCCATTACTGATGGATGATGTCATCTGACCTGCAGGAATGGAGAACGTTAGCATCCAACTGGACCTGGAGGCGGAGTTTCACTTTACTCACCTCATCATGACCTTCAAGGTGAGGAATTCTGGGTAACACTGATCAGCTGTGGTTTTGGTCGTTGGACGTTTTTTTACTGAGGTTTGTTTTCTTTCTCAGACGTTCCGTCCCGCTGCCATGGTGATCGAGCGCTCTGCGGACTTCGGAAAGTCGTGGCAGGTTTATCGATACTTCGCCTACGACTGCGAGAGTTCGTTTCCCCACGTGTCCCATGGTCCAATGAAGAAGGTCGATGATGTCATCTGTGACTCGCGCTACTCAGACATTGAGCCGTCCACCGAAGGAGAGGTAGGATCACGTGATGCGACGGTCTCGGCTGTGACGAGGTCTTCGGTCGGTGACTTCATGTCCTTCATGTTTTGGTGCAGGTGATCTTCAGAGTTCTGGACCCAGCGTTCAGGATCAGCGACCCGTACAGTCCCAGAATACAGAGTGAGTCTCCGCCCGATCGACCAATGATTGTATTGATCGTCAGTGAGTTATTTATTGATTAATGATGAATCTGTCTCCTCGCAGACCTGCTGAAGATCACCAACCTCCGAGTAAAGTTCACAAAGCTCCACACCCTCGGAGACAACCTCCTGGACTCCCGAATGGAGATCAAGGAGAAGTATTACTACGCCATCTACGACATGGTGGTGCGAGGAAACTGTTTCTGCTACGGACATGCCTCGGAGTGTGCCCCCGTTGAGGGGACGGGTGTGGCCAGCGAGGGCATGGTGAGTCCTGGGGACGCGGCTAAGAATCCTGCTGCTGTTGAGGATGTAACCATATTGAAGTGTCGTGTTCATGTCGCTCACCTGTGTTCAGGTCCACGGTCACTGCATGTGCAACCACAACACCAAAGGTCTGAACTGTGAACAGTGTCAGGACTTTTACCACGACCTGCCCTGGAGACCAGCCGAGGGGCGCAACACCAACGCCTGCAGGAGTAAGTGTCGAGATCCGAGTGGATCAACATACAAGTGCTGTTGTGGAATGGACTTGTTGTATGTTGAAGCCTCACTGTATTTGTTTATTTTCTGGTTCCCTTCCGAGGGTTCTGGTGTAGACCATCGTGGTCTTTCTCCTGACTTCTCTTCTGCTGGGGTTGTTTTTCAGAGTGCAACTGCAACCAGCACTCGGACTCGTGTCACTTCGACATGGCCGTGTTCGTGGCGTCAGGAAACACCAGCGGCGGCGTCTGTGACGACTGTCACCACAACACAGCCGGTCACAAGTGTGACCAGTGTAAACCCTTCTACTACCAGGACCCAGAGAAGGACCTGAGGGACCCCAACGTCTGCCAACGTAAGTCCCGACTCTGACCGCTTCACTATGGAAGTAACGTTACACTCAACTCACAGTACGATACGATTTGCGATTTTATCGAGACGAAGACAAATCCTGAACAAATGATCCTTTATTTGACCTGAAGTCTGGGTTTAGTAGCAAGTCACAACCAACGTTCTTAGGCGCATACTGCCACCTACTGTACTGGAGTGTGTAGTGTCATGGTATGACCAGTGACTTTTTTAGATAACTCAGCCTACTCCTTACACCTTGATGTGTGATTTTTATTTTTATTTCAACTGATAATAATTGTCACAGATTTCTATCCATTTTTAAAAAATCACGATGCGTCGTTACACCCCTCCCCCTCACTAAGAACCGTACGCGCTCCACACAGAACTCAGAACATCGTTCTTGAAACATCGTTACGACGTGTCATGCGACAACATAACAATCTGCGTGATGTCACACAGCCTGCAACTGTGACCCCGTTGGTTCTCTCAACGGAGGGTCATGTGACCAGACGACCGACGTGGCTCGTGGAACGATCGCAGGTCTGTGTCGCTGTAAGGTCAACGTAGAAGGAGAACGATGTGAAAGCTGCAGAGATGGAACCTACGGCCTGGGCGACACCTCGGAGGGATGTACAGGTAACACCACCGAAAAAAACACAACAGCCGTAAAAAACACGACGCACGTGGACAACAGACGACAAAAAAGTCAAAAGTCCCAGCCTCAGATACACACTGCAGAGCTATATGTTGTTAATGTGATGTGTGTGTGTGTGTTTGTGTGTGTGCGTGAACATCAGCGTGCACCTGCAGCCCCGTTGGAACACTTCCTGGAGAAAACCCATGTGACAAAGAGACAGGAAGTTGTTTCTGCAAACGTCTGGTGATGGGACAGAACTGTGACCAGTGTGTGGTGAGACATTCAGATACACCTGTAATCAGATTACTGTAATCTGATAACTGTGTGCAGACCATCCATTTATTACTGAGCAGTACTTTAGTAGAGTGTAATCAGATTATTGTAATCAGATTACTAGACTCAAGACAAGCAGGGGAAGAAGTTTTTTTTTTATCAGATGATGACTTTCTCTTTGTGTGTGTGTGTGTTTGTGTGTGTGTGTGTGTGTTGTGCGTCAGCCTGAACACTGGGGCCTCAGCAACGACATGGACGGCTGTCGACCATGTGACTGCGACCTGGGAGGAGCCGTCAACAACCAGTGGGTTTGATACAAACGTCCACGTTGATGACGACCTGTTGACCTTTCACTCACCTTCTCTCCCCTTCTTCAGGTGTGATGATGTCACGGGTCAGTGTGTGTGCAGAGAGCACATGTTTGGCCGCCGCTGTGATCAGGTTCAGTCTGGATTCTACTTCGTGGCCCTGGATCACTACACGTATGAAGCAGAGGACGCCACCTTCGGACCCGTCAGTTCTGATGCTCCTTAAAAACTTATTTTCACATTTAGGAAAATTCCTTTTTTTTTATTAAACCCATTGTGATGTCATGTGTTTACATCATCTCTTCAGGGCGTGGCAGTTGTGCCCAGGCCACACCCCCTGGACCGCAGTCCCACGTGGACCGGTTTGGGTCTGGTCAACGTTCCAGAAGGCGCCTTCTTGGTCTTCAGTATTGACAACATTCCTTACTCCATGGAGTATGACATCATAATTCGCTATGAGCCCCAGGTAGGAAGCTCCGCCCACCAGCTGGAGGATGACCATTCAGATTTGAGATTTCAATCTTTGAAGAGTATTTTTTTTTCCCTCTAGCTTCCAGACCAATGGGAGGAGGTTCTGATGACGCTGACCAGACCTGGACCAATGAGAGCTGACAGTCGCTGCATCAACACTGTACCTGACGATGACAACCAGATGGTGTCGCTGCATCCTGGCTCGAGGTACCCAGACAGCATGACTGTCATCCACACCAGCCTGTGATAATCTGGATTCACTGATCAGAATTCATTGAGTTCAGATTATCTAGATCCAGGTTCTCCTTGTCTCCTGTCCAGGTACCTGGTTCTACCCCGACCCGTGTGTTTTGAATCCGGTCAGAACTACACCCTCCGCCTCAGTCTGCCACTCTACTCGGCTTTGAGCGACGTGCACAGTCCGTACACACTCATCGACTCGGTGAGAAAAACTTCAAATTCTAATTCCGTTCCGTTCTCAGTCAGTCCAGTCGAGTTCCCAAGAACTCATCCAGGACGAGTTTAGACCAATTTTTTTTGATAAAATACTCTGTGATCCGGTCTGAGGTTGATGTTCTTGGATGTTCCTACTCAGATCGTGTTGATGCCTCACTGTAAGAACTTGGACATCTTCAGTACCCCGGAGGGCGGAGACTCTGAAGGCGGGAACAGTGGCTGGGAGACGTTCCAGCGGTACCGATGCTTAGAGAACAGTCAGAGTGTCGTCAAGACACAGATGACTGAAATCTGCAGGAACTTCATCTTCAGCATCTCCGCTCTGCTGCACCGGGGAGCCAAAGGTGAGGCATCTCCATGTTATCTGCTCTGCTTCACAGAACAGACACTTTATTGTGTTTGTTTTTTAAAGTTCCCCATTGATAAGGTTTCTTTTGAACTGATGTGAACGTCTGGACCTTTTCAGAGTGTCAGTGTGACCCACAAGGTTCCCTCAGTACTGTCTGTGACCCCAACGGGGGCCAGTGTCAGTGTCGCCCAAACGTCATAGGAAGGAACTGTAACACGTGTGCTCCAGCCACGTTCCAATTTGGTCCCAATGGCTGCAAAGGTGAGAATCGAACCGACACATCTCTGTGGATGGTTTTGACCTGTGACGTTTTTTTGTCCTCGGATCAGTAACGTTCTCCGTTCTCCTCTTGTCCCGGTCGGTGGTTCTGCAGCCTGTACGTGCGACCCTCAGGGTTCTCAGAGCCCCGTCTGTGACCAGTTCAGCGGTCAGTGTCCGTGTGTCCCGGGCGCGTACGGAAGACAGTGTGAACGATGTCTGCCGGGACACTGGGGGTTTCCCACCTGTCGACCCTGTTCCTGTAATGGACACACTGACCACTGTGACCCGGACACTGGAGTCTGTCTGGACTGCAGAGACTTCACCACCGGACACAGCTGTGACAGGTACTAAGACAAGTGGGACGGCTGTAGGTGGGGACGGCTGTAGGTGGGGACGGCGGCAGGGGGGGGGGGCTGAG